ATATATTTAAAGCTCAATTTATTCATACGTATTCATCACCCTCATCGAAACAATTAGCGTCTAACCGCTTACGAACTCGCCAACAACGACATGATGAAGCTGTTATCGAATATTATACCGATGTTATGAAATTATGCAAATTAGTTGATCCAACCATGACTGATGCATCCAAAATTGATCACTTATTTCACGGACTCAAACCGTCCCTAATGAAAGAAGTCTTCCGTAGAGCTCCATCCACGCCAGCAGAATTTTTAGAACAAGCACGACAAGAAGAAAATTTAGATTGTTTAGTTAATACGTCTTTTCAGCAAACCAATGATAGTGATACACAAGCAACAAACTATTCCAACAACTCGTTATATAGATCTCCCCAAAAATTTGAAACTGCGCACTACCAAAATTCATCACATATGCATTCTAAAGGTTATTCCGCAAACGTATACTCACCTCGAACAACATACAATCGATTTCATGATCCATCATCGTCACATTATCCATCTCAAACTCAACAATCTTCGTTTAATGCATTACACTATCAACCACACCCTTTACGATGTTATCTATGTCAGAAATTGGGACATATTGCTCGTGATTGTAGATCTGCAAAAAACTATTAAGGGAGTCAAATGATGGTAGTGACTCCCACCCATCGCGACCATCACTATTTTCTTCATCAATAAATAGAACTTATTCTGTACAACAACCGCATATCTATCGTCGCTTCGTTCCGTTTTTTCGCTATCGTACTAATTGCAACATAATGAACTACCCGACTTCTTCGATACCCCCTCGCAAATATATCACAATGAACAAGCCTCGACAGCCGCTCGTTAAATCAATCGCACAACATAATGCCCTTAATCAAAACGTTAAAAAATCCAACCCGTCATTAATTTTTATCAACACTCACATCAATGGATCACGTTTACATGCTATGATCGATACCGGTGCTACTCATTCATTTATCACTCAAGGTGCCCTTAGCACATTATATCATTCAGCCATACCCCCATGTGATCGTATAGCTCAATTAGGTGATGGTCAAACCACGCTTAAAATAGTGGGTGAAGTTCAACTATTCTTG